AAGTACATCATTTTGCGCGATACCCAGCGCACAATGAACAAGTACAAGAAACGCTTTTTAGAATTCTTTCTTCAAAGCGGACTTCAATAACGCACTGCGCATTGACATTACAAGTTTTTCGAGCTCCCCGACTTTTATCTTCAATGTCTTATTGTCCCGTTCCAGTTCGATCGCTTTCTTCGCCATCTCAGTCTCTTTCGCTTTTTTATTCATACGTGATTTCCTCGAGGCTTCGTTGTTCTTCTCCCTAGATTCTCGATAATGCGAAGCGAATGTTCGATCGTCCGAATCGGATTCTGTGTAACGTTTTCGAACTGCTTTCACCCGTCGGGCTCGGCTGTAAGGTTTCTCTATTTTGCTGTTCACCGATATCCTCGTTCGTTCTGTTCTCCTCGTTCGTTCTGCTCCTACTACTGGAGTCTCCATAGAAGACGAAGTTATTGTTGATTCAGCTGCTGTTCGATTTTTTGTGCACTCTGGGACGACAGTCTCATTTTTCTCCGTTTTCACTTTCATACTAGCTTGTAGAATCGTTGTGGAAGTTTTGGAAGGCAACCATGGTTTCGATAATACCGAAGAATCTGTTGAAACGCTACCTTTCGGAGAATGCATTTCATCCTACAACACAGTACACGTTATATTGTACTTGAATATTATTTGATTCAGCTTGTGTATTTTCACAGACAGTAGAGTCCTTTTTCATAGATTCGAAGAATTATACACGTCAACTTACATCGCAAAGGTACGACAACAAATCGAACGTATCCGATCCAGTGGTTTCGACTGTTCGTAACACATCCCACGTCTCACGTTGATTCTCTGTGGAATCGTACGAAGTCGGGCAAGCATCGCTCAAGTAAATCTTCTCTATCTGATATCTCGGTTGGAATGGTGTACTAACGTCTGTGTTATTCTGTTTACTTGTATTTACAGTAGTTGTTGATCCTTCTGATATTTTTAACCACAAGTTGGATGTGTTTGATTCTGCTGGACTATCTGTTTTTTCATATTTGATAGGTACATTTGACATAGATTGCAAGCTGCGACAGCTGTTGTTCAAATCCTCGGTTGTCCCAACGTTGTTCATTTTCACGCTCCATTTTTCTTCGTCTACACTTATGAAATCTTTCAATACCCCCTCTTCTGAAGACAAAACGCTGTTACCCTCATATTTCGTACCTGAAACACGTTGCAATGCCAGAATAAAAAACAACATGCGTCTTTTATTGTTTTCTTTTCTTTTAAAATGGAAATATTTCCGTGACCAGTGAGATATGACTATACTGACCTGATAGTTTAAACGTAGGTGATTCACCTGTATGAAAATCGCATTGACCCTGGAACGGATCCATGTAACTGCTTAAATCCTGAAAGTTCTCCTCCCACATGGAGGATGTTGCTTTCTCTTCTTTTGTCACACTCGTCTTTGACTGGAATACCCATGGCTCGTTTAACAACTCCGTCTCCATGGTTGGGGTCAGCAAAGGTACTGTATCGATGTTTGAAGATTCTTCTTCCTTGAGCGGCCACGATCTCACGCCACGAGAAGCAAATGACAGACGCGGCTGACGATTGCATGACTTTGAAACCTAGAATTTGATTTCCTTAAAATTTTATTAGCAGCTTGGGTTTGTCAACAGGGTCTTGGAGTAACACCAAGAGGACACATACGTTAAATACGCCTCCTTTCTCAAATGAAATGTTGCTGGCCGTTGGGCGTTCGTAAACAGGAGGGATTTTGGATACCTATGAAAAAAAGATTAATATTTCTACGTTTATGACACGTTAGGGACATCTCATACAGACTTGTGATTCCTTTCAGCCAGAAGAAAGATACTTTTCTAATAAAATTCTAGATTGACTAAATGACTTTACTACAAGTTAACATATATCATACATTGTTTAACAAGCAGTATATTCTGATATCAAACTTATACATAGATAATAAAAAATATCGACAATTTTATCTGATTACCAAACAACAAAATGCTAATTTATCATGATAACGAAGATAATGTTTTCTGTACGTTAATCAGGATCATATAAGAAGTATTAGATACAATATTGGAACTCAATTCTCTGCAGACAGAATTTTTTTCTTTTTTTTTTTTTTTTGAAAACACAGAGATGTTTAAACCAGGTATACCATATTCAGGCAAATCTGTTGGCAAAAATCAGAAAAGTTTAGTAGTTTAATATAATGTCTACAAAACATAAAATATGAAAGTACAAAATAAATATAGAAACGCAATACCTACGTAATTAAAAAATTTAAACGTTTTCCCTCCTTATGCAATATATAATTCGAATTTATGCCAAAATATATTTTTAAGGCCAAAGGAAGCGTAGTAGAAGAATGCTTATTGTAATTATGTTTAAATATACGTAAAAACACGCATCGCACGATCTATTTTTTTTTTTTTGTTTTTTCAACGATTACTTATCAATTCATGGGCTGAACGTTTAATATATCGTTACTTGCGCATTATCGGTCCAATGAGTGCGATTCGATAGTCGGACGTGTTCAAATTCGTTCTAATATCAAGCCAATCGCGTTCCACGTGAACGCAGCAGCCATGTTTATCATCTAGCCGCCTCATTTTTCGATACGTCGTTTATCTAATGAGAAAGAGGTGGAGAAACATCGATAGGCATAACCACTGATAATTACTTTTATTATAAACTTTGCAAGATTTAAAAATTACAACCGCTAGCTTACGCTATTATATATTGTACAAGCATTATTCCTAACCTCACAGTAAAAACTTTTACGCTATTTTAATTTAGAAAGCGTGTTTGTTTATCGCGAGATCAATTCTTCAATCGATAAAACATATTGCGATATTACATCGCAAAAGGAGAAGATTCAGAAGGAGGCGAAAAGATTTGTTTGAAGTTCAAAAGGGATATCGAACAACATTTGTTTTAAGATTAAAGTGAAGATAATAGTTTATCTGTGCTCTACGTATACGTGGAGTACATTTTTTGATACGAATTATGTTATGCTCTGTCAGACATTTTTAATATGTCGATACGGGGATATCAGAAAATAAAAATATCAAGGCTGTCGATTGTCATAAAAAGACCATCGATAACAATCGATATGCCATCACTATTTGCCCACTTCTCGAGATAGAGAGGGACAGGAAACATTCATTCTACGTTGCAAACACTAACCTCGTTACGTAACAGGCACAGTCTCAACGCATGTGACTGAATTTTTGCAAACCGGCTCGCGTTATCATACTATTCGTTCGTGCAATGTCGAGCCACGGTGAGAGCTATTTTACCGCCGAAAGCCGAGGAAATCGGTCGCGTGGCTCGGACGTGGTATACAACGCGACTCGGAACGTTTTGGAATACTATATTCCGCACGATAGCAGAATATGTACATATAGACGAGCGCTACGACGTCCGATCGATTCGCACTGCTTGCTGGCTGCGGCGTAATTTCACGTACTGCCAGTTCGATAAACGACAGAATTAACTCGATCTATGATTATATAATAACACTACAGACGAGACGTCTAACGCAAGCACAGGTAGAGGCACGGTAAATTGATATTCTCTCACTCACCCTCCCTGAGACAATGGGTGTTGTTGCTGTAGCTTCCACTTGGAACGCGCGAACTATTTTATATACCGGCGATTCCAACTTCCTCGTGGAATACGTGCTAATTCGTATATCAAAACGATCTCTCACACAATTCGAGCATCAACCGTCCTCACTGGCGCACCTCGCCGAACCTTCTTCGCGGAATGCGAGCTGGAACGTCGGTAGTGCGGGATTAAACACGTCACGGTACAACGCTGTTTCAACGCTCCCTCCGATTGGACGACGGATATTCGGGAACGTCACTGTGGACCAATCGGAGCGCCGATGCGCACACAGACGACCAATCGCTGCAAAGGAACGCTGCAGTGGGGAAAAAGTTCGACACGTCAGACGGAGACCCGATATGCGAGTTCGTTCCAGTCGATAATCCTACTTTTCCACTTTTCGACCCTCGTAAATCGTTCTACGAGCGAAACTCTGAATAGATTCATATCTCATAACGATGTTGAGAAATATTTCCGATTGATTTTTAATGGGATGGAAGATGACATTACTGCATATCGCAAGGTGAATGAAATGTTACTAAGTATTTGCGTCGCTCTTCTAGTGACATATAACGTTGGAAGATGACGTAAAAATGTAGTTTCATTGCGAGGACGTCGGAACAATAGTCACGTTACGTGACGATATATCAGTTACATAAAAATGCAATGTATTCTGTTTCTCCTTTTTTCTTTCCTTTTTTTTTTTTTTTGCGCGCGTGGTATATGGATTTATTTTAGAATACGCTACATTAATGCAGCAACTTTATCGTTGGAGTGGATCAATTCCTCCGCGAAGAGCGCACCACGTAACGTGTTGCTAGATGGAGTTGATGGCATACGTTACGTATACACGTGACTGTCGCGGCGTGATATTTGGAACTGCGCAACATTTTCATTCGTGACTATCATCACTTTGTTTATTAATAGTTTATTTATTTTCCATGTTACGTTGAGTTCAAAAGAATATATAAAATTAAAAAAACAACTTATACATCGTGT